TTTCCAAAAATCCTCAAGTCTAACCCAATTTCCATTATTAGTTTAACATGGTCATCAGGTTAAAGATGTATTTTGAAACAGGGCTTCTATATAAAAATTCGATTCTTGACCCATATACACCATTATAAGTTGGCCTGTGTCTAGCTAGTGAAATCGCTAAAGTAAAGCTTCATGTTCCCAACTCTGCCCTGGCTTCCTCATAAAGCACGGGACTTTAATTGGGGATAGGGGGCCGGGATGGGGAAGTCTCAGAAAGATGAAATTAATCCTGGTAATAAAACAACCCCCCCAGGAACTCAGGTGAATAGAAAGCATGTGGGCTCAACAAAACAAAGTTAAATTTAATAAACCATTAATACTCAGTGAAATTCACATGGATAAATTTGTTCAGCTGTGTTAGCGTGTTTTTTACAGTCTACCTCTTCTCTTTCAGTGAGACTTCTGAAGAAAAAGATAAAGTCATCAAGTCCACAGGTCTTAGGACAAATGAATTGACTTGAAGACATAGAATGATTCTAAAGTAAATTACTAAAATTCGGAGAGTAGATAATATTATCTTCATTGTATGCAGCATCTTTATGACACCACAAAAAAAAAATCTTATTTTTCAAAATTACCTCAGTCGACCAGGATTCAAAAGGGCTATGACACAATGTTCCCCAAAGTTCAGTATATAAAAAGTAGCATTTGGAAGCACCCAAGACCAGCATGATAAACATTCACTTCTTTAAACATTTTTCAAAGAGAAAGAGAAAACTTAAGTTTTATTTTGAGGCAGCCACTTGAATTTCAAGACTACTGCTTTTGCTAAATGTTCTCGTTCCAAAAATAAAAAAAAAAAAAAAAAAAACTCAGACACTCAGGAAATTGCTTAAAATCAACTATTGCCATGAATTCCATTTTCTAGTGTTAACAATGTTGCCTAAATTGCGTGTGGGTTTACCTGCTGTATCCAAACATACCAGCATTATTACAAAAAGAAATGGGTCACATAGATTAGAATCACAATGATTTCAAAAGGGTGGTCTGGAGATAACGAAATGGTGTACCAATTTCCAAAAAGTCAGAATGCATTTGCACACGTATAAGCAGTAAAATAACTCAGCTATCTTTAAGAAATAGCCTATTGCATCAGGATTTTTGAGTCGTTTATATATTAATTTTTCTAGTGTAGACAGGTGAATGCAGTTTGGTAGGATGTCTGTTTATCACAAAGCTGATTGTATCATATTTAATAAGTCTGATGTGCTCCTGTATGTATCTACTTAGGGAGAATTTGAGATCTGTATGTGTTATGCTGAGTGTGCTTGTGTAAATTCGGAGAATAAATCTGAAACATGCTTTGGGGAGTACATTTCACTTGCTACAATATGTTCAGAGACCTGTGCCAAGTAAGAGTGATATTTCTGCCTCTTTTGATCACTTAGCTTTCTTTAGCCCTGGCTGCCTTTTCTACAAATCAGGACATTTTCAGGACTTTTCAGGACCAAGTGGCTGGCAAGAGTCGTTCTACACTCTGCTCTGCTTCCTCTAGGCAGGCGGACTTAGAACACCTTCCCAGCCCCCAGGGATTCATGAATATTTTTAATATTGTTGGGACAAAGATTCATCACGACCTCCAAAACATAATTCTTTATGCCTCTCCTAAACTTGTGTTACTGTGCTTTCATGCCTAGGTCATCCTGTCATGTCTTGAAATATCAAAGATCCCCAAACATTTACGGAGGATAAAGCTCTCAGAGTGCTTGAGGCAAGAGATGTTGCTCTCGGGGAGTGAGCTACTTTGGCACTCTCAGTGCTTCTTTTCAGATGCAACACAAAACAGAAAGTCCAGTCTAATCTTCTCTCAAGTAGCTACTACCTCTGTAAATCTAGTTTGGGTTATAAGACAACATTGCACAGGGATTAGCACTATAGGCTACAGGCCAAATCTGTCCCACTTCCAGCTTTTCTATAGGCAGGAGCTAGAGCGGTGCTAGGATTTTTAAATGGTCAGGAAAAAAATCAACAGGAGAATAATATTGTGTGATATGCGCAAACTGCATGACATTCAAGTCTCAGTGTATAAATAAAGTTTTATTGGAACACAGTCATGCTCATTCACTTACGTGTTGTCTATGGCTGCTTTTGCACTATCATGGCAGAGTTGGAGTTGCTGCTCTAGAGACCATATGGGGCTCGTAAAGTCAAAAATATTTACTGTCTGGTCTTTGCAGAAATAGTTTGTCAACCCTTGGTATAGAATAAAGTGTAACTTTGGGGTTAATAGGGTCACAAGGATTCCAGTCAATCCCACAGGACACTAGTTCACTGCTACTCAATAGCAAATATACAAAATATAAACCCTCAATAAAATGATGAGAAATCTGTGCTGATTTTCTTGTTGTGCTTGCTGTCATTTTTCCTTTTTGAAATGACAGTGGAGGGCATAAAGAATTATTTACCCATGCCAGAAACAAATGTATGTCCATGGTCAGTATTCTCATAAATTACGTGGAAAGAGATTGTCACACAGCCCACCCAGAGTTCACTCAGACCCAGTCTCTCAGTTTGCCTCTTTCTCAGCTGTTCCTACAGTCTGTGTTCTGCCTGAATGTTGGTTGGGGTATACCAATTTATTTATAGACTCAGAGACATAATGCAACTTTCCTTACAAATATCACACAACCAAGAAGAAGTAGTAATATTCTAAACAAAGTTCTTAGATAAAAGAAACTAGGGTCCCTTCAACTACCCAAGCAAGGTTTGCTTTGCCACTTCTAATATTATAGAAATAAGTAACTATATTTGATTCCAAGGCCAGGAGTAGAAGGGAAGAAGGAAAGAAGAGAAAAGAAAAAGAAACTAGAGAACATTTTTAAGCTGGCCTTCCCCCTTTCTCAATTAAAGATTCATATGTAGTGAAAAGTATATGTAGGGGCTGGCCTGGTGGCATAGTCGTTAAATTCACATGCTTCACTTCAGCTGCCCAGGGTTTGCAGGTTTGGATCCTGGGTGTGCACCTAGCATTGCTCATCAAGCCATGCTGTGGCAGCACCCCACATAAAATAGACGAAGATTGACAGAGATGTTAGCTCAGTGACAATCTTTCTCAAGCAAAAAGAGGAATATTGGCAACAGACATTAGCTCAGGGCCAATCTTCCTCACACACACACAAACACACATACAAAAAATATATATAGTACCCTGATATTTATGTTATTTGGCAACTGACTAGCTTTAAACAGTCCCTTAAGACCTTTGAATAATATAGCACTTTATTCACTCACAGTTGTTGTGTATGTGTGTGTGTGGTGCTTGTAAATGGTAATGTGCCCTTAAAAGCTTGCCTTCTCTTCCAAGTGCTCTTCGCTATGTGCATCTACTTAATGATCATATACTAAGAGTGGTGATGGAAAGTAATACCATCCCCAAAATAGGTAGTTCTTGGTTCATTCTGGAAAATCCTTTCAACTCATCAGAATTTTACCAGAGGTGACATTTCTATGCCTGCTGTAGAAGTACCTATGAAAAATTGTGACCTTTAATCCTTTGTGTTGTCTTAGTCTTCATCATATCAAAGTTATTATCCAGAAGGTTACCCTTTGTTTTCATTGAAGATCCCATATCATCTGAAAAAAGCTCATGGCAATCAATTACTCAGTTGATGGATATTGAATACACATCTGTAATAGTATTATGATAAGTGCTGTTGCAGAATCAGAAAATTATTAGCTATTATCCTTCTCCTTCAGATATCTGGAGACCCACTGGGAAGGCAAAGCTCACAGACATGAAAAATATAAGCATTTTACTCACATGAAAATTTAAATACAAGCATAGAAAGAGTTCAGAGAAAAAATAAATCATTTTGAGCAAAGAAGAGATGAGAATTGAACCAGGCATTATAGGAGTGTCGGAACTTGATAAACAAAGGATAAAGTGAGGAAGTGGGCATTCCTAGTGAGCAGAATAGACTGAATGAAAGCAAGAAGCAAAGTATTAACTAAGTCAGCCTTAATGGCTCAAAGGGCAAAGAAGACTAATTAAAAGTATATATATTGCTATAGCCAGGTTGAGGCCAGACGTGGGAAGGCACTGAAAACAAGTAGAATAGATACCTGATGACTGAAAAAATAGAATACAGAGTGTATTAGAGAGTTTGGAGGCATAAGGGTTTTGCTATGATTCACATCGTAAAAATGATACAGCTTAAAATAAATATAAGTAGTATGAATGAAGACGAAGGGTGAAGCTGATGAGTATGTCAAAGAAGGAAACAACATAAGCGGAAGACTCAAAAGTAAATGTCCTAGTGTGAGAGATTAGAAGGATAGACATAACCACTGGGATACTTGTTATAGTTAGAGCAGGGGCCAATTTAGAAGCATGGGGATTATATAAATTTATGATGCATTGAGTTTGAGGAGTTGAAGAGATATCTAATTGGAGCAATTCCAAGGTCATTTAACAATCCCTAGCTCACTTTAACCTATAAAGCTGGAGGTACAGATTTAGCCACTGTCCACTTGGAGTTGATCACTACTTTGTTTAGTATATGATCCCACTGAGGAAGGAAAAAAGAAGAAATCAAAGATAAAATCTTGACAGCACTTATGTTTACCAAGGTTGAGATAAAGAGAGGTCAGATATTTTGGAAAAATAGGAATGGTTACATCATCACATAAGATAATTAAATAGAGCTTTCCAAGGGGATGGTCAAGAGGGAAATACATACATACACACACACACATACACACACACAAAGAACTCAAGGAAGGTGAGAACTAGGAAAAGACTTGGAGGATAAGAAGGTCATTGGTAGCATCCCAAAGTATAGTTTCAGTTGAGTGTTGGAACACAAACTAGACTGCCCCCAGACCTGGCTTAGTGGAGCTTGCTACTCCTCTTGTAATAATATCCATTACAATTCATTATTAATTCCCTTATAGTGATTTTTATTTCTTCTTTTCTATTTTCATTTTGACTTATTATTTTTTGTTTATTTAACTCTGTCTAGGAATTTATCTTATTTTGCTACACAAAGTAGCCCTTCTGCTGTCATTTTGAACCTGTGGGAAGCTCGTCATCAGCACGATGGTGACCTTGACTCCCTGGCCTGTGCCCTTGAAGAGATTGGGAGGACACACACGAAACTCTCAAACATTACAGAATCCCAGCTCGATGAAGCCGACTTCAACTACAGCAGGCAAAATGGACTCTAGTCCACTTCTTCTCATGAGACAGAGCGACGGCCAGCTTTGGGACATTTGCTTTAAATGGGAAAGAAAGAGGCAGTTTTTTGCCTAGTGGCATTTGGAGAGTTCAGCCTTCATTTACAATCAGTAAGAATCCCTGGTTGAAAAATTGAATTTTATATAGGTAAAAGATGTTAATAGGGAAAAGTACAAGCTCTCTTAAATATAAGAGGGCTCTACTGTCTCCTCTGAATCTAAACTTGGGTTAACATGTGATGAAATTCTCAGATTTGGAGTGGCAAGGATAAAAGTGAGGGCATATCTAGAGAGAAGTCACTGTGGGAAAAGATGAGCTACAATAAAGCTGGGAAGGCAGAGACTGAATAAGTGCATGTTTTGAAACAGGTTTTTAATGATGTGCCCCAAAGGGCCAGATGATTCTGGTACCAGATTGTCAGAGTTTTTTTTACCAACTGGCATCTATGATGTCGGCAATCATTGCAAAACTGGCTTTTAGAAGTAAAGCAGGGTTCCAAACCCATTTATATGACTTCAACAATGTCAAGGAGGGCATTTAGAATTTAAAATCTGAGTACATCCCACCAGCACCAATTCTCTATTCCAGCCACTTAATGGAAACAAGATTGAGAGGTAAGATAGACCACAAACTACTTCTTGCAGTATACCCCACCTTCATTTTCTCCAAGGACAAATCTACCCACATTCTTTCTTCTCCTTCCTTACCAATTACAGTAGAGGAGAGGTTTCAAGGAGCATAATTAGACTTTTCCATATGGAAATTTATTTCTTCTAGCTCAACAAAGTAGGACCATCTCTATTCCCAGCTAAGCCACTCAAAATGCAGAGTGCTATTAGAACACAGCTTATTACATGGATTTGGAGACAAGAGTGGTCAAATCAGGTCCAAGGAAACAAATGAACTGCAGATGCTTGCAGGCGTCAAATAAACTGTAATTCTTAGGATGCAGCTGTTGATCCGGTTCCCCAACATTGTTGTCATATGGGAATGTGGGGTTTTACTGTACTTTTCAATTGAGATTCTTGAAATTTTCTAGCCTTTTGGTACTATGTTATTACAGATTCTCTCCATAGGGCTGTAGGTCTTCCTCCTTTTGCCTCTTGGGAAATTAGCAGATAGTCTTTGCTCTAAATGATATCCGAGTCAATAGACCTGAGGAATATTCTACCACAATGTTCTAGAAACCACACACATTGTTTAGGGAGCCTTCAAGCTCTGATCGCTCAACTTCACCAAGTATGCTTTCCCTACAGGACCATTACCATATTTCTCTATGTTTTAAATAAGAGGCAATGATACTGTGGAAAAATGAAATCCACAGATAATTCATGACCGCCATCTTTAACACTTTATTCCCTGTTTTATCCTATTAAATCGTTTCTGACAAGATGTCACAGTGGACTAAAGATGAACAAATCTGCTCTTGCTCATCTTCTGGTCGATGTTTTAATTAGCTGTCCACCATCTGGACAGTTGAAGTCAAGGACCTAGATTAACCACAAGCCTGATCTGCTGCTTAGGGGTTGGCTGTATTAGAATAAAATAAAAATAGTCATGGAGTGGGAGAGGTGGGGAACACTTGGAAGTGGGGATATGATCGACTTTTTTAAACGATGTTTTTGTAGATCCCATGAAAATAATGTTGTGAATATCCACCTAAGTGAAAAAGACCTAAAGATGAGTTGAATTATGATACCCTTGGTAAGAAGAACTCTTGAATGTGTTGGCCATATTCTCTAACTAACGTGTGGTATATATGGTCCCCTGTATTTGATAAAAGGCTTTGCTACATGAGATTGAAAAGGGTCTTGCTTTTCTCAGGAACCAAATGCATATTGTCTAGAACAAACAAATCCTCTTAGAACTGTCAAGCATATTTCCACAATACCATATCTAGATCAGGAAGACACCCTTTTGCTAGTGTGATCAATTTGTTTATTTCTTGTAGGGAGCAAGAGAGAGAAAGCATGAAAGTGTAGATCATTTGACGTCCTGATCCAATTTATGAAAGAGAAAGAAGTGCAAGTAGGTAGTCAGTCACCCAAAATAAGCTAGAGAGTTGATTCGCATGGGTGGTACGCAGAAAGAATCTGCATTAACTGTTGAATACTAACTTGTAAAAAATACAGTATGGAGCTTATGTTCATATCCATCTTGGAGGGTTTTTGTTTTAAACCATGCTACCCTTTTTTGCTCTTCCCTTCTCATTGGCCTGATAATTGTTTCATATTTCTATGAATCCACACAGATCCTTTTTAGATTTTTGATACATTTTTTTACATTTTAAAACAGATGAAAAAATTTTCATGTTTTCCCTAGGATCTATCTAGATTATTGTAAGATGATAAGAGATTATTATTTATCCCTGACCGTCTGGAATTTCCTCCCGTGGATTTTCGTGGGATTTTTCGCCTGGGTTTTATAAATGCTCTTGATCTTCATATGGTATTGAGTGACAAAGGCAGCAAATTAACATGATTCATTGCTGATTTCAGCCCAAGGTTCAAATCCATCTTTTAGTTCATTTTGCTCCTTTTTACATTTCTCTCTTACTTATTTCTGCTAGGACCTTACATAGGATTTCTACAGAAATGTATGAAATCCTATGGCCATTGCATGTCAGGATTGTGCAGTATTTTACATTAGAATTCCAGAGAGAACCCATCTTTGTGAGATTTACAGACCGAAATGAGTGTGTGTGTATACGTGTGCGTGTGGCAGGGGGGTATGAAATTGCAGATCAGATGGACTTAACTGACACTTGAACTTGTAGTTACTCACTGTGACCTAAACTCTTGTTCTATTTCAATATTTGCCTGTCACAACACAAACTCCCCTCTTGAAAGAGATTTACTTGTCAGTTCAAGCACTTACTTTAGAAGTCTCTTTGTCCTAATGCAAAGTGAACCAAGACATTTAAAGTGGCCTTTAACACTTCATAGGTTACTTAAAAGTTTTACGAAATATCCCACTTAATGTCAAATCTTTCAGTCCTCAAAAACGCTTAAGTCTATAGTCATGCTTTAAACATGACATAAAATTATACCACCAAAATGGTGTGCTTCACAGCTTCACCAGACGGCAACATCATAAAGTTAATTTACAGTTTTGACAACATTGCTTATGCCATCCTCCTGGTTAACATTAAAATCCTTTAAGCCAAAAGGAAGCTCTGTCTATGGATATAAATGCAAACTTCATTTACCGGTGCAGATTCATAAAGCTCAGATGTACTCCCACAAACGTTTTATTGGCCTTTTTTGTAAGAGATGAATAGGAAGTGACACAGTTCTCTTTAAAGAGGGGAAATTTTCTCTCTTTTCTATTATTTTTATCTCCAACTGCAGGTGTTATCCTTTGCCACGGTCCCCATGTTTTTCTGTCAGTTGGCCTTGAGAGGAGATATTGTCAAATCACCAAAACAGGGTTCTCTTTGTATTAAAAGTTCTGGATTCATTGCAACTATTTTCCTTGATGAAAATTCTCAACATCAGTCTTGATAAGCAAGGGTAGAATGTTACCATGGTATGATCAGTTTTAGATAGTATTCTCCATTTGCCAAACTTCTGGCAAACCTACCTGTGAATTTCAAAATGTTATAAAATCTCAAAATGTGCTTTTGTTTTGCCTTTTTGCCATTTTTCTCTTCAGTTTCTTAGTCCCTCTGTAAAGGGGTTGACTATTAGAGCTAACAGACCTGTCGAAGGTGGAGTTCTCTCAGAGATCTTTGTTCCAGATCTGTGAAGGTCACAGGAACCATGAAGGAGCTAAGAAATGTGCTCTGGCCCATTGCGTGGCCCATTTTCATTCATTTTCCTCATGAAACATTGCAGAATTCTGAATCCTTAGTAACTCCCATTAACTGGACTAGAGGTGACAGCCACAGAAAATGGGAGACCAAAATGTTGTCCTACAGATAGTGACAAAATGTTATTAGCCCTTTGGTGTTAGTTGCCATAGCGCTGTATTTGAAAATCGATGCTTTAGCCAAAAGCTGAATGGCCACCGTTTTCGCAGTTACCACTGTTTTGTCTGCATAGAATTTTCCTGAACTACAAACAAAAATGTATTTTGTCAAATGTCACAAAGTGAAAATGTTACTAATCTTAGATGTGTTGCATATTTTGTGTTTTTACTTTCCAAACTCTTTCAAAAGCTGCAGTTATAAAGCTGTTTGGCTGTATTGACAGCATGTGGTGTTTTTTGCAAAAGCAATTCTAGGAGAGCCAGTGTCTACCATGGACTTCTCACATCCCCACTCCCGGGTCATCAACAAAATCAAAATGGCAACTGTATGCTGTCTTTTTTTAAAAGATAAAAGGGGATGGAAATCAGACCTGGCTATTAGTCACTAGTGTGTAGTACTGTGATCTGAAATAGGAAATTTAACTCACATAGAATAATTGTGGTTTTTGAAGCAGCTACTTTGTTTTTTTCTTTTGCTGTGAAGATCATGGATTTGGAATGTCCTCATGAGGTGGGCCTAAGATGGTAACGTTAAACTTCATGTCTTAGAACCCACCCTCCATCTGAACCCAAAGATGTAAAAGGCAGTAAGCTTCATGTTTAAGCCTAAGCTTAAAACGTTCCTCCCCCATCCCTAATATTGAGTTCAGCAGAGGGGACGTCTTTTTTTCCAAAAAATTATAGCCTTTAATTATAAAATGTATAACTAAATTTGGTAATGTAATTCTTTGCATGAATGGAAATGTGTGTTAAATACTTTTAGAAAAGGCATGATTACAATGAAAATGTCCTTTTGCCTCAAACTTTGCTCACCCCCAAAAAATATTTCACTATTTCAAGCATTATTTACATACAAATTCCAAAATTGGACTAATTACACAATTCCCTCAAAACTTGATAGATATGGTAAGTAGAGATTTCACTGTGGTTCCATTGAATCATGAAAAGGAAAGGTGGTATTTGAGAGGAGGTTGTAAATAGAATATCATGCCTTATGACTCCATTACTGAAGCACAGACATTGCAATCAGAAACAGACCTAATGGTTCTAATATCCCGGCATTAGTGAGCTCTGATGATGCTAAAGGAAGATCACTCCTTACCAGGAGCCTTCGCTCTGAGCCTCATCAGAGGGTAGATGATGAAAAATTTCAATCAGAAGCACTCCCCAAGGCTTGTCCTAGATTATGTTGGCCGCTCCCATGTAAAACTTCTCTATGAGGAGGTGGGAAAAACTAAGTCTGTGGGAATTTTCTGGCAGGAAAACATTTCTCCTTTTCTAAATTGGAATAAAGACTGACTTAAAATTCCCCATTCTTCATAATTGTATCTAATTAGTATATGCAATCCAGTAATCCTCGACCTAGAAATATTGAAAATATAAGCAGTGAGGAAAACTACTTTATTCTCCTGATTCCCAACTCAAAAAATATGAGTAATTACTTACCTCCATTTCTCTATGGAAGGATTTTTAAACAGATTTCATTTTGTTTTCTTTATTTGGGGAAGGAACATGGTGGGGGTGGGTTCTTTCAAGTGATTCATATCTCAAATCCATACCACTCAACTTTTATTTGACGTGTTCAAAGCCAAAAAAAAATTAAAAAGCAGAACTGAACACTTAATTTAACATGAAGCTGAAGGAGGGAGCAAGCCAGAGGAGAGAATGTGAATAAAGCATGGCCTTGGCTTCATACCACACTTTTTGTGCCTTGTATTATCAATGTAAATTCTGAATGTTGTACAGTAAATAATTGGATGGACTTCTTAGAAAAGGCTGCACTGGCTTCTTTTTCAGCACATGTACATATTATAAATATATATACATATATATTTGGTAATGCCAAACAGCTGCGTTATATTGTATTGAACAAAATGGACGGTTTGGATGTTTTATGTAGAGTTTGCAAAAAAAATATGGATGGTTACACACTTTTCAAGATAAATGTACAGTCGTAAATTACTGCCTATCAGTTATTTATGAATAAAAGTCTTTTATTGACATTTTAGGATACTCCATGACTGGGACTTTGAAATCCCAAAGAGGACCCCCTCTAAACACCTCCTGCCACATCTCAGCAGGAGCTGGAATGCCTTTCACATCAAGGACAATTTCCAAATACCTGTTAACATATTGAACCCAATTTCTCCTCTGTCCTCAAGAATGAGATACTGTGAGGCTACTGGAAACAAAGACGAGATTATTCCCACCCCACTCCAACATACACATAGACAACTTCCCTTAGGAGGTAGTTTTCTATACTCTGAGATTATCCTAGCCAAACCACAACTGGGGTACCATTCACCTTATTCCTCAAAATGCTTAGGTTATTTTTACAGACTATGCAGAAAATTTTTTGCTTCTCCATGGGAAAATGTTAAGAAAATAAGTACAATTTTGCACATTTCAAATACATCTTGACTGATTGAATTTCTTCTAAGTGGTTTTTAAAACACTTAAAGCTCCCAAGAATTTAATCATAACTACTTAGAGCTGGTCAAAGCCAGTTTAAATAGTGTGTTCTACTTGAAGATGATTTCTGATCTATTTAAAGTAATTGGTTATAAATTAAATGAAGGACAAAAGTTGGCTTAAACTAATATTTTCCAAAATTTTGGTTTTTTTTTTAAAGAAAATACCATTTCCATAGAAAGAGCAGTTTTTTAAGTTGTTTGGAAAGCTATTGAATAAAATGAAACATCATTCTCTACTCTAGATTTCTGAAAATCTTTATGTGTATGGTGGATTTACTATATATGAGGGCTCTCTAAGTAGGGAGTACATGTGACATTTCCTAAACTTTTTTGTCCATGTAATTCTTTTTTTGGATCATCTTAGGAGACTAGCAGGGATGGAATGAATATCCACAAAGTGGCTATGAGTGGTTCCAACTGTCATTTCTGACCACTCTAACTCAGGCAGCCCTTTAAAGCTGATTACAGTCACGCATTGCTTAATGACAGGGATACATTCTGAAAAATGCATCATTAGGCAATTTCATCCTTGTGTGAACATCATAGAATGTACTTACACAAACCTACATGGTATAGCCTACTATACACCGAGGCTATGTGGGACTAATCTTGTGGAACCACCTCAGTATATGTCATCTGGCATTGACCAAAATGTCACATGGCAAATGACTGTATATTTAAGTTACCGATAGAATGAGAATTGGTTAAGCTAGATAAATCTGTATGATTTTTAAACTTGAACTAGGTAAATCAGTAAGATTAGGCAGAACCAAGCTGAACATTTCAGAATTATTTGAATAGTTAGAGCAGATAAATCCAAGTTGAGTTGGTCAAAACAGGTTTCAACTAGAAGAATGCTGTGACTGACATAAAGATCCAGATATAACCAGCTCATCCTGATGAAAACTTAACTGATCAGTTGAACCTGTAATAAATCGTTCAAAATATTTTTTAAAGGTTTTTATTTATTTATTTTTATTTTTTATTTTTTTTCCTTTTTCTCCCCAAAGCCCCCGGTACATAGTTGTGTGTTCTTAGTTGTGGATCCTTCTAGTTGTGGCATGTGGGACGCTGCCCCAGCGTGGTTTGATGAGCAGTGCCATGTTCGCGCCCAGGATTTGAACCAACAAAACACTGGGCCGCCTGCAGAGGAGCGCGCGAACTTAACCACTCAGCCACGGGGCCAGCCCCTCAAAATAATTTTTTAAAAATTCTTGTTGTTTAAAAAATGCTTTATCTAGTTAGGAACTAATTCTGCGTAGATTAAGCTATTTTGGGCTAATTTATATTTGTTCTCTATAGCCAAGATTTGTTAGAGTTTGATCAAACTTATTCTGACAGAGGTTACTCATTAATTCAACACATATTTATTTAGCATTTACTATGTGATAACAGAGTCAGTTCAAATCCTAACTATCATCTAGCATTTGATATCAGGCAAAATGCTTGACATTTATACTTTACTATAATATAGAGTTGATAATAGAACTTTGGATTCTTTCTGAAGTCTGAAGATTAAATGAGAAAAATACATGCAAAGCCCTTAGCTTAGTACTTAGAAAGCAACCAATGAGTGTTAGCTTTAATCTTATTTTAGAGAGACAATATGCATAGTAGTTAACAAAATGTGTTTGAGATCAACACAAGATGGGTAATTCAAAGTCTGCAATTCTCTGCATACACAACATTGGCCAAGAAAGTTTCTATCTTTAAAAGGAGATAATCATCTCAAGCTCATGGGGCACAAAGTAAATGTTCAAGGGATGCTATAATGACTAACTACATCTTCAATTATCTCTGGTTAGTTCTGGTTCTAAACAGAGACATCCTAAAATGTACATCACATAAACCTAACAAAGTGACAACAGGGCCAAAGATGTCCTCAACTTTAGTACCTTTCTAATATCTAAAATTTATTTAAGAAAAAAAAAATGCCTTACTACTCCTGAAGTAAGTGAAATGAAATTTGTTTTCAAATATTAAGGTTAATGTTTAATACAGTAAGCTTAAAAAATACTCTAATAAAGTCCCATGTATCTACCCACATAGAATGATTCTAGGAGAGAAAGAACTTAAGGCAGATGATGAGGCAAATACATGTTTAAAGGGTATCACTAAGACAAATAACATTTTGTTTAAAATAAAAGTGATCATGCATAGAGTAGATGCTCCATCAAGCAGATGACCTATTTTACGGTTGTCAGATGACACAAGGGCCTTAAAAACATGACAGGTACACAAATTATACGTTAAAAAGTTACCTGGGTACCGTCACCTACTATATGCCAGACCCTCCCCTACAAGTCATTGACTCAACCTGTAGAAGTTCACTCTTTCTATGTCAAGGGATTATCATACCATCAAACAAGTGTTATGAAAGAGGTGAATATAGATTGTTAAGGGAGGATAAAGGAAGAGCACTGAAACCAGGTTGTGTGGTGTGAGGGAAAGTTACATGGACAGGTTACCTTTGGGTTAAGATTTAAATATGATGTATTAACATAGATATTTCTATAATAACACTTTGTAACAAGTTCCATAATTTGTGGCTTAAAACAACCATTTATTATTCTCACAAATTTATGGATGAGCTAGGAGGTCCTGATGAACTGAGCCTGGCTTGGCTGAGCTCAGCTGGACTCATTCGTATATCTACAGTCAGCCCAGGGGTTAGCTTGCCTGGTTCTTCCAGACTAGACTCCTTACATATCTGGGGCCTTGGCGAGGAGAATAGGACTGACTAAGTTCTGCTCCATATGTATCATGATCCAACTTGTTAGACTGGGTATGTTCTCATGGTAAAGGCAGAGGAAGAGAAGCATGCAGATTCTTTTGAAGCTTAATCTTGGAACATCATCGTTTCTGTGATATTCTAATGACCAACATAACTCACAAGACTAGCCCATTCAAGAGATAGGGAAATAGAATCCATCTCTTGATAGGAATTTCCATCTCTTGATGGGAAGTCACCGTGCAATGGGAGTGGGGAATTTGGGTCATGGTTTTAATTTCTTCATAAGAGATGAGTAAGAATTTGTCAGACAAAAATTAAAGGATGAAGAGCATTCAAACAGGAAGATTAGCACTGATAAATTTATTAATAAGCATTTTATTTAGGAGAGGCTGCCATACTGCTTTTCATGCCTCTAGTCCTTAGGATCCACTGGATCTTCTACAACAGCACTTTCCAAACTTCTGTGCTGTGTTATTAGGTAATGATCCTATGGTGATGAATGATCATTCAGCCAAGGATATTATCTGCAATGTTTTCCAAATATTTATCATCTACTAATTCCAACTTAATGAGCATGTAGTAACAGTTGACATTTTGGGATTCACTGTTCTAAAGGTATACCAGAGATAAATTGGGTCCTCCAACCTAAATTACTTTAGCCCAGGTTTTCTTTAATTTCTTTTTTCTCATCTGTCCACCCATTTCCTTGTACTTTGCAAAATTTCTTATCTCTAAACATATGATAAGTCCATAGTAATCATTTAACATTTTAATTCTTGCCTATGAAAGTTTGATTTAACCACGTTCCTCTATAACTAATTAAAAGTGTACCCTTAAAACTGATACAAATGAGTTGTATTTTGCTCAACCTTATAAAGACTACTTTTAAAAGCTGGAGGCATTTTTACAAACAATTAAATGGCTTATATCAAGTAACCTTGCTGTCACTAAGCTCAGAGAAAAATTCAATGTGTCCTTCCTTTCACAAGAGTGAGATTGGGTGTCTAGCCACGGATAATATGCTGTGCAGTTTCACGGAAAGAGCCCAGATTAAGTTAAGAAGCACTAACTAAAGAATGTTCTAATCTTACCTCTAATGTCTACCAGTGGAGTCTGACAATTTATTTTACTTTTTGAGCCTCAATTTCCACATCTTTAAAATCAGCACCATGAATATCCTGTCCCACTTCCTACATTTGGATACAATGGGAATTGAAAGAAATACTATGTATGAAAAATCTTTATGTTCTAATACATGCTATGCAGGTATTTTAACAGAATAAGAACTGTACAGTCACTGTCAATGGTAAACAAAACATCAGAAATTACTGCTTTTATACCAAATTAATTGTTAGACATGCAGGTAAAAATTTTAAGTGACCCACAATTTATTCCTTTATCTCTTCCTATTCATAGGTTAAATACTTTAGTTAGGATATCCAAGGAAACTGAGATAGTCTCTTCCCCTAGTATCATTATCTTTAAAAATCAAATACTTTGAGAAAGATCAACAATATGAGTGTGTTCTTCACAACATCATAAGTGAAAAATTATAGAGGAGGAGGGTACAAGATGGTGGCATAGGAAGACCCTGAACTCAGCTTCTCCTATGGACACACCGAATCTATACCTACATATAGAGCAATTCCTCCTGAAGAAGAATTCAGGGCTGATTGAACAGCTTCTGCACAACAAAGGATAGAGAGCCCACATACAGATGGGTAGGAAAAACAGAGACATGGTATGACAAGCACCCCACCCTCAATGTGGCGACTTGTAGCAGGGAGGGATATAA